CTCATCAATTACTGCTCAACACAAAATGAGTAAATAACACAAGGGTATATGTATATAGCTGAATGTGTGTGTGTGTGTGTGTGTGTGTGTGTGAGAGGGAGCAATCGTGTCCTCCAGGGGTAGGTAGGTGTGAGATTAGCATGCGAAAAAATGCCAATGCCGTAGAATAGATGCTTCACAGTTGGGTGAAAATGATGCATCTCCATGGTTACTGTATGGTGTGTGGATGCGGTTGCTCTGGGAGACCGTTGCCATGTTAAAAAAATCTGAACTGTTGCGTTGCTTAAGACATTGAATTAGGATGAGTGAGGACGTTCTCCCGTGGAAACAGGATGAGGGAAGAAAGTCCGATTTGTACCGAATCTACAGCCTGAAGAAGTGTTTCTCACCTCGTTAGGACTCGCTCTCGATGGAGATTGTGATGGTTTCACTTTCAGCTGAGGAGACAAACAGAACACATGTTAAAAAGAAAAACCCAAATCATATTTTCCAATGTTTTTCTGTCTAATGGGGACAACCATTTTGAGACACTTTCTTAACTTCAAAACAACAAACTTGTAGTCACATTTCCACTTGTGTCTTCCGGCAACAAGTCACATGACCCAATAAAAGAAAGGGCGGATCAGGCTAAAGGTACATAAAAACATTTCATTACTCCGTAGCCATGACGTTGTAAGACACTTATAATAACAATCTCGGTAGCGGCAAAAACAAAACGTAAAATGGACATTCACTGCAGCGCCTGAAGGATTATGTTGCATTTTGTTAAGCGTCTGCAAAGCTCCATACTGGATCTCATTAGTCATTTAGACAAAAGACATGGGACAATCGGTTGAAAGATAACACATGTACCCTGACAGTCGGAGTTATTAAAGGTTATCCTCCCAGTGGAGCTCACCTGGTGTGTGTGTGTTGTTCTCCTGATGCTCTGCGACGTGGTTGGCGTTCTGCTCGCTGCTCAGGAGGCAGTTCTGAGACTCGCTCACAGGACTCTCAGGGACTTCAGCAGCACTGCAAACACATACATAAATAAAAACATGGAATGAAGCGTGCATCCACAACCAAAAGTTCTGCAAAAACCGTAGTGGTAGTTACGTAATTGCACGTTATATTATTATTACTATAACTACTTTTCAGTGCCTCGTGGTGAATTCTATTTCTAATATCTCACCTGTTGCTGGGCTCCTGCTGCAGGGTGACGGTGGCCTGCTGCTCCACGTCAGCGCTCACCAGCCGGGTGGGGAACGTCAGGCCGTCTCCCTGACTGAGGGGGGGGGGGTTCAGAGAGTAAACAGTCAGCAGATACAAAACTGCCGCAAAAGTAACAAGACATTATTCAAAATATTATCCTGATAATGTGGAACTAAAACATGCTGAAGTCACTTCACTTAGCATTGTGGAAAGAATCTAACATTTTAATTGCATCAGATAAGAAATGTATTCTAAATAAACATCTCTTTTGAATAAACATACTTATGAGGTAGTCAGAAGTCAAGAGTTTTTCTGCTCATAAAAGATAGAAACATTGCGTATATTACATGTGTTCTTACATAATGATATCTTAAATGAGGCTTATCACGATTATCCCAATATCGGAGAATTCCCCACGTTCCTCTTACTCCGAGTGCCGTGGTCCTTGATCAAAAAACACATCATCCGATCCCTAAAAAGCACTATGTGATTGTTTCATAATGTGTCCCCTCTACCTGGTGCAGACGGGCAGCAGCCAGAACTTCTTCTGGTCTCCAAACACCTGAGCAATATTCTTCCGGAAACCCAGAGAGAAGCCGTTCTTATCGGAGCCGGCCCGGAACACCGGGGCTCTGAACGCCTCTGAGGAAAGAGGACAGAAACACAAGAACAAGCACATTTTAGAAGTACAACACTGCTCAAAAGTAAAGTAACACAAAGTAGTAATTGTGTTTTTGATTTGGTTAAATAACAGTAAGACATTCAATTTGAATGTGTATATGTATGTATGTATGTATGTATGTATGTATGTATGTATGTATGTATGTATGTATGTGTGTGTGTGTGTAT